TCAAATTTTCGCGATTTTCTGAAAATTAAAAAATCGCTGGAACTTTTAAATATGATTTTTGAAAATAGTTCACCAAAGGGTATCTTTGGGCAAAATATCAGCGATTCGCCAAATGGGTCGTTGACGGACCATTCTCGATCCCAACAGGCAGTCACTCTTAACTAATCAATCATTTTTGTTCAATTTATTAAGCGGCCGATGCCCTATATGGGCATCGAGCCGCTTCAAGAAATGGACGGTTTTTTTCATGTCGCTAGCCCTACCTCATTAAACGAACGATAAAACTCGGTCCCAAAAACATAACAGTTTTTCTTACACAATTCCACAGCATATATGTCATTCACAATTTATTTTCATGTTGAGCGAAAACACATCTGTGCCCTTGTTGATTATGATGCAATTGACATTAGCTAAAGTTTTCTACACAGTAAACTTGACCTAAGCTCAAACTTACGCTAGCCAAAATATTGCATCACCCAGTCACGTTTTTCGTCACGCAGGTTCGAAGTTGACTCTTAGATTTGGCGGGAGAACCTCAGAGTAAAACTGACCGACGGGGTGGAGGGGTGCATTGTTCTTTTCTCCCCTCAAGGTGAAATTGGCCCGGGGGGGTTCTCCCAAAAAATTTGGGTGGGGGTGTGCCGCTGGGCTATAACAACCCTAATTTTGCGAACCTGTTCCAGACTCGGGTTCCCGGGTCACCCTCCCTCCATGTAAACAGGCCCTAAATGTTGAAAAAAGATACCCTATTCCGGACGATTCTTAACGATTTTCTTTCTAACCCAAAAGGCTAAACTACTAAGCAGCACTGCGAGTTGTAGTTGTAAAGCTTTTTTAACACTCCTACGCGTTTCTTTTCGTCTGACTACTTCATCTACCCTATGCCAGAGTATCAATTACCGATCTTCATGCCAACTCCTGGGAAACTGATACCCTGATACCCAAAAATGCCTTTTGGTATACCCTGTTCCAGACCAAAATGCTCAAAAAACCATACCCTGTCCAGCTGCACGTTCCTATATAGCGAAAATAAGGGAGTGCCCCCCCCCCCCCCCCCCCGGGAAATCGGCCGCTTGTAATCCCTTCAGGGGTTCTTGTTTCGTTTGTTTCTATTAATTTTCTGTGGTAATCGTCACAGGTCGAACCAACTTCATGATTTTAGTAATGTTGTGAAGGCCAAAGCTGTTCTCCCCAAAGCCCAGAATTTGGTCATTTCACGTGGTTGTTTTGCAGAGGACAGCTGAGGAATGTCCCAAGAGGTTTATAGCACGTGCAAAGCTATTGTGCTAGTAACTAAACCTTTTGTTACTCTACAAGCTGTCTCGGACAACATGTCCCAACAATTTTTTTTGAAAATGTTGGGGACATTTCAAAACTTGTCCGCAAGTGCGACCCGGGCCTAAGATGTGGATATTTTAAAGAAACGTATGAAAAATTGAATTACGAGATTTATTATTGTTGAAATTTCCCAAAACAAAATTATTGAAAAAGCGAGTAACTTGAATGAGATTTATGCGCCAAAACCACAGGAGTGTTTTGCTACTCGCGGCTGTAGTCAACAATCAAGCTTCAAAATTCTGTTCGATACAGAGCACATTTCCCTAGGCTTTACGAGCTGAAATATTTCCTGAAGTTTATCTGCGTATTGAGTTTATTACAGGAATCGCATCGAAAAATTAAATATTTGGAAAGCAAAGACGACGTCTGCAGGCAACATCAGACATGTATTGTTGCAAACCAGTGTATGAAATCTGTCTGTGACCTTAGCACGTTATTCGATCTCTTTAACTTTACACCAAGAGTGTAACGCAATACAGTCAACTCTCGCCTTGCGGACACCCGCTATTACGGACAAAATCCAGCCCTCTACCCGGCAAAAGCTATAGAGGTTTGACTGAAAATGACTCCCGCTAGCCGCTATTGCGGACTCCAAACTACGTCCCGAGGGTGGCCACTATGGCATAAAATTAAATAAAAATAAAAATAAAATAACAAAAATAAAATTAAAATAAAAATAAAAATAAAAATAAAATAAATAAATAAATAAAATATAATAAAAAATTAAATTAAATTAAAATAAAATAAAAAATGAAATAAAAAACAAATAAAAAATACGAATTAAATTAAATAATAAAATAAAAAATACAAAATAAATTTAAAAAATAAAATAAAAATAAAATAAATAGAGGATATTACACGGTGGCGCGAAGATATGAATTTTATTTTCGAGTGGTAAAAACAATATTTTACGAATGAGCGCAGCGAATGAGTAAAATATTGTTTTTACCACGAGAAAATAAAATTCATATCTTCAAGCCACCGTGTAATTTTCTTTTTATTATATAGACAAACCACAAAAGCACAAACTTTATCCGCGAACTCTTGCAACTCGATGGCTGGACTTTCTTGAATTTCTCTCCTTTCGTCTTCACTTTCAAGGAACTCCTTGAATAATTTTAAGTCATATGAAGTTTTCTTCTTCGTTTTAGCATTTTCCTACCGTCCTCAGTGAACGATTTCCGTGTCAGCTTCAAGTGAATTCACCAATCTATCGCTCGCCATTTTTCAACCGGCGTTTGGCAGCTTTGCACAAAAAGCCATGCAAAAGCGGGAAATTACGTCATCGATATCCTCACTAGTGAGGATATGGAAAATACGCCACTCGGGTCCCGGATGTAGTTTCGTATGAATTTTACGAGTGGTCTATTTTCCAGTAAAACACTCGTGTCTATATAATAAAATAAAATAATAGACTGCGAGCAGTCCCTCTTTCTTTCCGATAGCGAGCGAGAGAGAGAGACCGGAAATCGAGCGCGAAGCGCGAGCGAGCGGAAGTGAGGCACAATAAATAATAATAATTAACAGTTATTCTTCGAGGACGCGCCGGATATGAGCTGATATATATAACCAACGAGGCGCTTCGCCGAGTTGGTTATAATCAGCTCATATCCGGCAAGTCCGAGAAGAATAACTGTTTTAGTAAATTTTCAAACACTCAAATAACCGGAAAATGAAAAAAAAATTATTTTCCGCTCCAAGAAAAATACATGCCTACAAATGAACAACAAATGCAACTGAACGAGCACTGAAGGAAGCCCGAAACAAACTTTGTTTACTAGAAGTCCCGAACTGAAACCAATACAAATCTGCACAGATTTAAACTGAATGAAAACAGAGGTAGACCTCTGATGAAAACCTGTTTACACTACAATTTTAAGCTTAATCCATTCAGTATTGTTACCTTGTATTTCGAAGAGGCTTGTCAATTCCATAAGCTTTCAAAATCAGCACAATAAATTTATCGGGAACGAGAAAGCATAAATATCGCAGTCGATGGTACAATCGAGGACCGCTTCACAGTGAAATTATCTTCGAGCATCACTCTTTTTCTTTCCATCCATGTAGATATTGACGTTTTCCTTTGCTTTTTACTTCAGTGAACGTGATTTTAACTGGCTCAGTTTCGCTGGTTTCAACACAATTGATTCTGTAGTCGTGCACGATTTGATCGCCGTAAACAACCCGTTCAGCCGTTCATTCAACTTGTAAAATGAATATAATGTTCAGCTCCACAATTATTTCTGATCTTCCAATTTTAAGCTAAACCATTTGCACAATTTTCCAGAATATACGAAACTTTAGAAGACACAGAGCGAAGATTAAAATTCTGTTTTGCTCTCTTTTCATTCAACTTGCAAACGGACACCGCGCCAGCAGTTTTTGCCGCCGTTTTCATACAAACCATGCTTCATTTAGATTGAACTGAAAAATCACTCAGTCGATATATAAATTTTTTTAAAGTAATACCGAAGTTTAACATAAAGCTAGCGACGTTTTTAATCAAACAATTATTCCTTTCGCCCTTGTTGGATATACAAGTACAAGAAATTCATAATTTTTCCATATTTGGTCAACTTAAGGATAATGGCTGAGATCCATAGAGGAGGGAACCAATCAGAAAGCTAGAAAATCATTATCCAGAGGTACAAATTTACTAATTATTATTATTATTATTAATAAAAAAATTAAATTAAATTAAAAAATTAAATTAAAATTTTAAAAATAATCCCGAGATGCCATCAGGGCCACCTTTGATACATATTGGTACATTTCTTAGCCGTTCTCTGCAAAAACAACAACGTCAAATGACCAAGTTTGCCGCATTTATATGGAGAGAACAACTGTACTGACGTCTATAACGTGTAACTAAATTAAACAAAATTAAACAAAATTAAATTTACACCGATGAAAAAGCGAAGGTTGGTCTATGCATACGCCGAAAATTACCGTTTTGTTTAGTTTAGATCGCAGGCAATTAACGTCTGTCTTTTTCGCGCCCACACTAAAAGAGCAACGCGTTTCGAAGCAGCTCGACTTATTTTAAATAAAATCGTTGTTGATTTTACATATTGAACCCATTCTTTATTGCTTACAGCTTTTTTACATGTTCATTGTACAAAAACTAAGTGGAAATCCCGTAACGTTCTCTTGTAGCAATCCCTTTTCTGCATCAGCTATTGAACTTCATTTGCCGACATGTTTTGAACTCGAGCGCTCTCGAGCGCGCTCGACCCAGTCTCGCTCCGCATTAAACATCGCACAAGAGCGCAGTGCGCGTTTCACCGCCCATCATTTCCTGCGCCCTGGTCGAACCTATGACCTTCCGCACACCGGTCGGTAGCCGGCGCTTCGTGCCTCTCAATTCGCGCGTCGCGCACAATATCTCGAGAAAAAGAGAGACTGTTTTACAGTCTAACCGGTCGGACACTCTACCACTGAGCTACAGGAGACTCGTTGGAGGTTAAGCCATATAATAGGTTTAGAAAGGTGTCAAACGTCCTTCATGTTGCTAGGATCAGTTTTGTCTATATGTGATATGCATGTTGGTTGCAATTATTTCTGTGGATTCATCCAACGTACAAGTAATATTATTAAACAGAGAGAAATGATGGTGACTTTTAAGCTTGGTAGAAAATATGAGAAAGATATTAATCAGTTTATGACACAAGCTAGGAGTCGAACCTACGACCTTCAGGACACCGGTCGGATGCTCTACCACTGGGCTACTGGAGACTCGTGGGAGCTTAGGCGATACAACTACATGTAGGCTCAAATGTTTCAAACATCCTGCATACTGCTAGGAATAGTTTTGTCGATATGTCGGATCTCTGTGGAAAGAAAGTATAGTGAATTTCAAAATTCACCATAATTTATTTCCACACATACAAAAATAAATAAACTTTATTGGCTATACACAACAAGAATTTTCGAAGAAAATATAACCGGGCTTTTTTTATCAAGCAAGCAAGCCGTTTTACCTGCTTTCTTGCTTGAAATCTATCAGATTAGTCACGGCAGTCACGCTGAAGTCTGATGTCTGCGTATAGTGTCTACTGTCAATTTTCTTGCCTCTGAGCAGTCTTTGAAGATCATTCCTCAATATAAAGCCAAAGTTGAATAAGAGGAAAAAACACGACAACATAGGTACGAATCGGTGTTGAACCATCAATCGCAGACGTTCCGCGTTGCACCATCATCATTCGCAGCTATTCTAGTCACAGTTCGACAAATTGCGTGAGTCAAAATGTGATATTGTAACGTAATGGTTGTTATTTATAAATCTTCTGCATACAAGGAAGTGAATTGCTGCACCAACACGAAAAAGTAATGTATTTCACACTAAATAAACAGCAGAGTATTCATGTTCAAATCAAAAGTAATAGCTTGATATGAAATTTGACCTAACGACGACCCTGGTTTATCACAGACGTTGCGAAATCTCTTCAAGTCACAGTTAGACGTGACTCATGTGACCCCATGACGTAATCGTCCTTATTTATAAATCTGCATTTCTCAGCAAGTTTCTGTTTTTCTCAGAAAATATACGGAAAAGATATGTATTTCACACAAAATGACAATTATTTAACAGGACAATATTCATAAAATATCATTTAGGCAAAGGATGACCCTGGCGAAATCTAACGTGGCTTGATAAAAAAATTGATCTAATGGCGCTTCCAGTGTATGTGATGTACGTACGCACCTCACAGACAATCTCTTCACGATTCGACGTGACCCTATGACGTAATCGTCCAAATATAAATCTGCACGTCTCAGCAAGTTTCTGTTTACATAAATCTGCGAGTCTGGGAAAGTTTCTGTTTTCCTTTTCGGAAAAGAAATGTATTTCACACAAAACAAACGGGACAATATTATGACCCTGGCGAAATGTAACGTAGCCTTGATAAAAAATTTGATCTAATGGCGCTTCTAGTGTATGTGATGTACGTACGCACCTCACAGACAATCTCTTCAAGTCACGATTCGACGTGACCCTATGACGTAATCGTCCAAATATAAATCTGCACGTCTCAGCAAGTTTCTATTTACATAAATCTGCGAGTCTGGGCAAGTTTCTGTTTTCCTTTACGGAAAAGAAATGTATTTCACACAAAACAAACAGGACAATATTATGACCCTGGCGAAATGTAACGTAGCCTTGATAAAAAATTTGATCTAATGGCGCTCCCAGTGTGTCCACCTAGTAGTGAGTACAATGATTTAATATTTTGACGAGTCAAACTCACCGATGTTGCGAAATCTGTACGCCGCTCCGATGTGTTTACGCGGTCCTAAATTAATATTTATTTGGACCAGTCCAACTTTCACATAGGCTCGATTTCCGCCGCTCTCTCGAGTCCGGGCTTCGTTCTTCCCCGAGAAAATCTTTCACAAGGCGAATACATTCATATATATTCATACTCACCCCTAGCTCTCCTCCTAGCACTTTGGCGGAGTAGAGGTATAGGTGAATCACGCCAAAAAAAAAACAGAAGCTATTTTACTAACCGGGCTGGGCCCCAGGCCCACGCCCGGTTAATTACTGGTAAAACCAGTAGTTTACATTGTAGGACATTACCAAAAAAAGGAGGTAAAGACCATTAAAACATTGTTACACATCGACAAAACTAATCCTAACTTGTTTCAGTGACAATGTAATGTTACATTGTAACAAAAATGCAACAAATGTAGCAAAATGTAACATTAACCCGAAATGTAACAACCGTTTGACGTAAAATGTAACAATTCCTTTAACGTTAAATGTTACAACTTTTTAACGCAAAAAGTAACAACTTTTTTTAACGCGAAATGTAACAACGCAAAATGTAATAACTCTGGTCTTGATACTAAACAAGGAAAATTGGACACATTAGCCCTCTTGTCAAAACAAGCAACACCTGACTGGTCACGACTAGATCAAAAGTCTTCCAATACAATATTACTGAATTGAAAGGTTATACCGTTGCCCTATACATACAGTATACATCATCAACTAAAAAAATGTTCTTGTCGTATTGTACCACGTCCGTGACTGTCCGTCCGTCCATGCTCCACTATAGGCAAACCGACTAACCTAATTATTATCTTCTAATGATAAACAAACAAGCTTTCACATTATGTCCTATAAAGGCACGAATCATTAACAGTCTCACAGTTGAAGACGTTATAAGTCACATGACGTCGGAAAATTGCTTATATCTCCATTATTTTTACAAAGTAGACTGAGCACGAACATGGACATGTCCATGTTCAATATCTTCTTTATTTAAAAAAAAAATAGGTGGGACACTCAAACAACATTCACTGGGACCGGTTATTGCGTTCGACGTTAGGAGAACGCACACTAATCCTGTCAACATGCAAAGAAAATCGACATTTATGTTTGTGGTACTCGATTAGCCCCCCCCCTTCCCCCCCCCCCCCCCCCCCCAAGCTTTTTTGCAGGGGCTTCCCGGTAAAGGCCCTGGGAATGAGGTTTTCCCGGTAAAGGCCCTGGAGACGAGGTTGAACGGTTAAACGCCATCGCGATGCACATGAACAAGTTTCATTTCTAGAATTCGCAGATCCAGAAATTTAAAAGCAAACTGAACGACATCTCCAAATGCTATCCCAAATTTTAGTGACAACGCGCGATCATTGAATGTTTTTGAACGTCAGGAAACCGGTTTAATAGACCCTGGGGTGCGATCGTTCAGTAAACAAATGACAGATCTGCTTCACTCGGAAAACGAATCAGCAACAGAGTTCAAAATCTGAACTGATGGAAGTGAGAATCACAACTGGCGTGACCAGAGGGATTTTTTCCCAGGGGGGGGGGGGGGAAGCACACAGGGTATATGAGACAAAAAATACCTAATAAAACCTCGCATAGCCCGGGGTGGGGGATAGGGGTTGTATACTGAAAAAAAAAACATGTTTTATCCATTCTATGAACAACTGGACCCAGGACGAGATAGATAACTATTCGAACGCATTTCAATAATCTATGATTACCACTAGTTATATAGCGTTGGTGGAGGTGAGGGCCACTAGGTTGAGAAAAAGTTTGGCCTAGAAGTTGTGGTCTTCCCCATTTTAAAATCTAAAAATTTAGACCCTGCCCCAATTTGAGTCCAAAAAATTGTGGCCCTCGCCAACGAACAAGGAACACGTAGAATGTATTAAAGCAAAACAGTGGATTACAGACAAAGAATAAGTTTACTGCTGAATGTTTTTGTTCAATATGTAGAGCTGAATTATTGCAACTAATAGGAACTAAAAAATACTCAGAAGCAGAGGCCTATAACTAGAGGTTTCAATCTCTGGTATCTCTGGTATTGGGTCACTAAATTTAGGTTAGACTTCGGTATTACTTTTTGTAAAACTATAAATGGACTGAGTGATTTTTCAGTTCAATCTAAATGAAGCATGATTTGTATGAAAACGACTGCAAAACGGTGCGGTGTTTAAACCTAATCGTACCTTTTTGGTACGCTTCGGCGGCATATCAGGCGAGTTTGGTCGAGCCATGGTTTTTATTTTGGTGAGACGCAGTCGAGCCAAAATACCCATGGCGAGACCAAACGAGACTGATATGCCGCAGAAGCGTACCAAAAAGGTACGATTAGGTATTTACCGTACCCAAATTCGGTTTATTCTTTACGCGAAGGGACGCAAAGACGACTTTCATCGAGTAAAAATGTGTCAGGCGTTCCGATCGTCGATGGCGATGTGTGATTGTTTACGGTTTGAAAATGAACTGAAAATGAACTGTTTACGGTCAAAATTTCCATCATCTTTCCTTAAATGTCCTTTTTCCTTTTTCCTGTGGCGTATTTGACGAAATCAAAGTGGCCATGAGCCACTGAACTCGGAAAATTATGTTAAAGTTAATATTTGAAACACAAGCTGCCTAAATAACGTGATATCATTCTTATCTCTGTATGTGAAACACGCAGAACTCAAATTACGTTTTCAATTGATCAAAATCGTTCGAACATCTAAACAGATCTACAAATGAGAAACATTGCCACTAAAAGACTACTGAAACCAATCACTTGATGGGTGAATCGTGTCACGTCCACGTCAACAACCTCGGCGACGAGCTATTTGCAGGGTTAAAAAACAGCAACCGGCACGCTCAATCCAGCACTTCAACACTTCGGTGAAAGTCAGTACTCAGAACTCACTTGAGCCTGCTGTGTTTACCTAAAGATTTTTCGTTGTGTCAACGTGGCGCAGTGGATATAAGCACCGTTTTGTAGTCTAGAGGTCGTGGGTTCGACGCCTAGAAGGTTCCTTTTTTTTTCTTTTTTTATCCCTTTACTTTTTTAACGCATGTATTTATATTTTTTTTGGCGGTTGAATATTTCGATTTCGAACTCAAACAAGGTGTTTGTTTATTGAAGGATGAAATAAATAATGAAATGTAAGACGGCTTCTCGCCCTCGATTTATACTGCTGGAACCACAGGTCACCAAAGCGTATTATGAGAGTTTGTATGGAGCTGAAATTCGATCGAAAATAATTTTCACTTTTCCTTCGAAAAGTTGTAAATAATGTGAAATAAAGTTTAAAAACCTCACCTGTTGTCTTTCCCGGTGTTTTTATCGCTTCTGGAAGCTGCTATGGGCGAATTTCGACCTTCGGTCGAATCTGCCACTGTAGTGTACTAACACAGTAACAGTGGCAGATTCGACCGAAGGTCGAAATTCGCCCATAGCAGCTTCCAGAAGCGATAAAAACACCTTCGGT